GAGAGAGAGAGAGAGAGAGAGAGAGAGAGAGAGAGAGAGAGAGAGAGAGAGAGAGAGAGAGAGAGAGAGAGAGAGAGAGAAAGCTCAATGAACTTGACAGCACTTAGCCGTAATCAGCCTCAGATCTGCCCATTTGCCACGTAGATTAAACAGCTATAAACAGGTCTATCGAGGACTCATGACACTCACAGGTGGACACGCCGTCAGGCGGAATATGAAAGTGAGCTACTGACCGGCCTGGCTACGTCTGCTGATGTGGCTAACTACCCTTAGACTCGCTGCAGTGCCAACCAGCCACCCTGCCTTCTTCCTCGACAACCACGACTGCTAAAAAGGTGCCGCAATTTGGATCTTGTCGAAAAACTGCATTGCGCATACCCCATAGCGTCCGGCTCTGATTCGGCTAAAGATATTCAAGACGGCACAGCTGCCCACATCTCCTACCCTTCTCACCCACTATCCTCCACATGGGAGATGGTGGTGGGATGGGTTCTCAGTTCTAAGGACACTTCTTCCATTGGAGGTTGAAGATGAGCTGGAACTTGGTATCGGCGGAGTCGAGAGCCATGGTCGCCTTCTTGCCCTCCACTCGCACCACCACCTTGATGTTCAAGTTGGGTGCGTTGTTGCACTCGCTCCAGACAATCGTCAGGAAGTCGTCCGTGAACTCGAAGCTGCCAGTAAATGCGCCTTGGATTTTGCGCTCGATCATCGCCGTACCCGTTTGTCCGGAGAAGTAGTAGTGTGACTCATAGATGCCTGCGGACTCCTCGCCGATTTCAGCGAACCCGCGCCCCGTGGCCTGCCCCAAGGACACGCTCCAGCCATCCGGGTAGATCATATTGAAAGACATCTGGCAGGCCTTCCTCCTTTCGGCGAGGGACGCGTCCGTGCTGGCAACCATCCCGCCGAACATGAAGGTGACCGTCTTGTAGTCGTTGGACAGCACGTAGTTCGTGTTCTCATAATTGCAGCCCGAGCCTCCATAGTTGACATAGCTGATAGTAACCTCCGGCGGAGCCTCCGCACTTGCCAGAACTGCAACACCAACCAGAAGCAAGGCCAACAGAAACGCGGAGCGCGCCATTGTCCGCTACTTCACCTTCCACCTTCCCCTGAGAGCGCTTTTCCTTTCGTACGACAGAAAGGCGGTCCTCTGAAGACACGAAGCAGCCGTCAAACACAACTACTCGCTGCTCCCTCCTACCAGTGTGCGTGCAAGCAACGAGCACCGATTGCGAGAGCGTGCGCGATCTAAGCTACACAGTCGAGTCGATGTCTATTCGAGGCAGCTCGGCTCGCTTTTATACACTGGCTCGCGGCAGTCACTTCAAGGTCCGCCTATATCCAGCAGCTATGGGCTTGAATGGGGTCGTCGTGAGTGAGACAAGGCTTCGCTTCACTCTGCCGCTTTCAGCCTAATCCGTCCTCTCCTGTTTTCTTTTGCTCTCTTTTTCTTTTTTTTCAGAAAAGCCTGGAACATTTTTTCTCTCTTTTTCCCCCTTCCCGTCAGACTCTTGTTTTCCATTTTCTTCTAGGAGATCTCACAAACCAAGCCCTCTACCCGTTTTTCTTCTAGGAGATCTCACTGTGTGTTGGCAAATCTGTGTGATGGGCCCGCTACCCGTTTTCGGGGGCAGCATTTGGGATAACAGGGCCCCTGTGTGTGAGTATGCCCTGAATGTGAACGTGCCGAAAATCGCGATTGATCTGCATTTCTCCGTAAAACGCACCCTCAATCCAGTCCTTTGCGCTATTTGGATTGGGACCTCGCCCACGGAAAGACAAAACAGAAATGAAACAAAGGTATTCTTGGGCGCACAATTTGTTTTCTTGGTTTGTGAGATCTCCTAGAAGAAAATGGAAAAGAAGAGTCTGACGGGAAAGGGGGGAAAAGAGAGAAAAAATGTTCCAGGCTTTTCTGAAAAAAAAGAAAAAGAAAAAAAAAGGTAACTGCATGCGGGTAAAATCGTGGATGTGTTGTGTTCGAGGGATGCCTGAAGTGGATTTAGAACTGAAAACGTAACTGCGCGGTGGTTACTACTCCTTTTTTTCACTCCATAATTTTTCGGAAATTTTCCATCCCTGTTTTTTTTTTTCCTTTTGTCCTTTTTCTTTTTTCTTACTGGATCACGGTCCTAAGAGGCACGGCCTTCATTCTCCTCGGTCAATTTTTTGTCATTGAAGTGCCTCATCACTTGGATGTATCTGACCGTAATTATGTCCAGAAATAAATAAAAAATGTCCTAGTGTTGAATGCCCTGCGGCTGTCATTGGAGACGTTCTGTTGAGAACATGGGTGAGTCTCCAGTGCTTTTCAAAACTCGAAGATTCAAGAGTAGGGGCCTCGCTTCACTGCTCACCGACTGTGCAAAATGAGAATGGATCTGCCTCTAGAAAACTGAGGGATACAGAGTCATATTTCTTGTCTTTCATGCATATGGAAACTAGTGCGCCAAGCCCGAGGACATGGATCAACCAACTATTGCATTGCACTCTGGAAAGACATTTGGAGAGAAGTCATAGGGCGTCGCTCCACTACTCCCCAGCACAAAAGACAAAAACCATGGTGGTGTATCTTCCAAAGGTTCTAGCGGAAGATTCACTCTTCTTTTGCACATTCGGAGAGTCGTGGAGCCAGGCCCATAGTCGGCCCCTCAAGGGTCCTCTCCAAAGTCGTTTAGTTTCCCCCTTGCAACAACTCGAGCCTTGAGAGACCTCCACGCACGTCTCTCACACACCACAGCATTTCGAGAGTAGACCACCAGTTGGTACCCACTGTCACACCTCCCTTTGTCTTCTTATGTTCCGTTTAGTCTCCGAGGAACTACAGAGACCAAGGGCCTCGCCATACCACTCTTGAAAAGTCATTTTCAAGAGTATAGTTGTCGCATGGCCACACAGCCTCTTGAAACTTGGGGCAGTAGACAGCAGTCAAGAACAGTCAGAATTGCAGCCTCTTGAAACCCCCTTTCAAGAGCAGCTCTTGAAAGATTGGAAACCCCAACCTGGCAGCCTGCAATTGTGCGTTTCCAAGCTTCCTTGGCCGACCCCTTGAGGGACTAATGATTTTCAAGAGTTATCCTGAAGCCATTCAGAAAGCACAAAGCTGTACGTCTGTCTCTTTGCATCCATAGTCTTTTTGCACTGTCGCCGTTTCAAGAGTGCTTGCTGTCTGGCGATGGGCCGAAAACTGTCGAAAGTGCAGTTCTTGAAATCTTCTAGCAGCTCTTGAAACATTTCCCCGTTTCAAGAGTGGTGGGCCCTACCCTGGAGAGTAATAAGTGGACTGTGACAAGTCTTCTACCTATTTCGAGAGTCTGACAGCTCACCGAAGAATCTCAAAACGTTTTGAGAGGAAGGGCCTCGCTGCAGTACTCTCCGCGTGCACAAAAGACAAAAAATTATGGCGGCATATCTTTCCACGTTCTAGTTGAAGACTCATTCTCATTTTGCACACTTGCACAGAGAGATAGTGCAGCGAGGCCCTAGGAGTAGTGGAGCGAGTCGGCATGTTACAAAAAGAACGGCCTATGAATTTTGTAAATTCGTCGCCTTCGAATGACGACAATTTGTTTGTTTCACCTGCAGAAAAGACGGAGGGAATGCAGAAATCAAGTCATGGTGCCACATTGCCTCAAAAAAAGTCAAACTGGGACAACTCCTCCATCGGGAATACGGGCCGTCGTTACCGAGAAGAAGCAACTCCGCGTGGAATTCCACTTGATGACATCACCGGCCCCATTCAGAAAAGCATCGTAAGCAATAGCCGCACCACTGTTGAAAAGGAAACCGAAAAAGAACGAGTGCCATCTTTCACAGAAGGTGAGAAGATCCATCCATTTCTCTTCGTAGTAACGGATGCATCTTACCACTTTCAGGGAAAGATGCAATGCCAGTACTTTTTTCTTTACGGCAGTGGGGTGTGCTGAGGCGGCGAGGCCCTATAGTACCACGTGAACGCAGGTGCATAGTCACTAATGCAGCTGCGCCTTTCGTATGAACTTTCTGCTGCCAACGCTCAAACATCAGGTGGAAAAGAGCTAGCTCAGGTGAGGCCCTATAGTGTTATCTGAATGCAAGCGGACAGTCACTAACGGAGCTGCGCCTTTCGCAAGGAAAAGGGTCAGCTCAGAAAGAGCTATTACAGCCAAGCTATTACAGCTCAGGATGAGCTTGGCTGCAATAGCTGAAGAACCGCAGCTGTGGAAGTTGACTGGGGGCGGTCATTCCTGAACTACCCGTCTTTACCCGAATATAATGCCCAGACATTATAGCTGTAGTTGTTTGGCACACCATTAGGTCCAAATGCGGCGATAATGACCGGACGTTCTACTCGGGTGAAGACGCGCAGAAAACCCCACAGCTTTGGTAGTCCCGGAAATAGCAACGAACAAGGAGCCCCTTTGTTGCACGGGACGTGAATCACGTGATTGCGGCCAAATGCATCCAGGTCCGCTCCGCAATTACTATCAGAGACATTAGTATAGTGTGAGTAGTGCCTAAAATTATGTCAGCTCTGGACGGCCAGATACATCCAGGTCCGCCCGCAATTGCTATCAGAGACATTAGTATAGTGTGAGTCGTCCCTGAAATCATGTCTGTAGTGTTTTGGGACATCCGTTAAAATTGGAATAACACAGAGATTGTTTTTTTTCTTTTTGCGATGATCAAGAGTCTTTGAGCATAGCGAATCACAAGTTGCATCAACAGGCACTGGGCCCGTACAAATAAAAGGTAAAAAAAAGTAAAAATAAAAGGTAAAAAAAAGAGAAGTGCACGAGGATGAGCCGGGAAAAATTAAAAAGCATAACCTGTAAAGAAATAATAATAATCATCATAATAATAACAATAACAATAATTATTATTATTATTATTATTATTATTATAATAAAATATATAATAATAGAATAATAATAGTAACTGCAACGACCTTCCACACGAAGATTGACGATCAACTCCTCCTTTGATTGCAGTAATACCACGACAGTTTACAGGGAGATTAACCGGTGGAAAATGTGCCATCCGCGCTGGCTGTTCTATGCACGTCATTTGTAGGAGGGTTTTCTTGATTGGTGAAGCTGCCCACTTGCGGAAACAGTAAGACTGTGGGGGAAAAAATCCCTTTCGCAAACTTTCGGCTAAGATCAAGTGCAGTTTTGTTCTGAAGAGTATAAATTATTGTAGGATCCGTGGTCCATCGGGGCGCAAGGTTGTGCGGATGGGTCGCATGAGTGAGCATGTGCATGCTTACCCGAGCCCTCCAGCGTTGCATCTGCATTGCACTGCTTCTTCTTTTTTTTTTTTTTTTTTTTTTTTTGGTTGGTCGCGCAATGGCCTACTCTTCTCTGTATCGTTGTACTGCTGCAAAGAGCGGCGCACCCCATTTTTAAAATTAAATTAAAAAAAGAGAACAAGGGTCAAGTAGGGTTGCGTCTTGGACGGGTATTCGTGCTCAGCAGTTAGTGTCGGGGCCAAGTCCCACATACACCGTTGAGTTGAACCAGCTCAACAGTGTGAGATGGTTTTTGCAAATTAAAACTTCAAAAGAAATGCAAAAAAGACGTTTTTTGCAAATTAAACATTCAAAAGAAATGCAATGAAAGAGAAACAAATGCTGTTGAAAGCTTCTTTCCTTATTTTCTGAAAAGCAAAATGAAAATCCAAGTGCTACCAAGAAAAAGAAGAGCAAAATGAAGAACCAAGCGCTACAAAGAAAACAAGAGCAAAATGAAGAGCCAAGTGCTAGCCGCTATCCTTTCTACCCAGAACCGCCGTGCCGTCCCAAAGTCAATGCCAGTGGCGCCTCTCTCTCTCTCTCTCTCTCTCTCTCTCTCTCTCTCTCTCTCTCTCTCTCTCTCTCTCTCTCTCTCTCTCTCTCTCT